TTCATCATAATATCACACTCATATTATTTCCTTTTTACTTATGCCTCATCTTAGTGATTCTTATGTTCAAACCTTGTCAAAATTGTATTCATTCTTCAAGTGCTATCTCTAAATTTTCTCCTTTCATGAAAGTTTTGTACTTTCCTTAAAGTGCTAATCAGATCCTGTTATAAGTTTTTTACTTATATCTCATCTCCCCCACATGGAAATATCCACTATCTACAATGGAGTTAGTTGATTGTCATTGCTCTGTCAGAACCAACTCATAGTTGACCCTCTAGCAGATTTTTAGAGGCTATGAATCACACAGGAAGAGACTTTCCATCTTCTTGCTGTGGATTTCAATTTCACCTGTGTGTATTTGGGTTCGCAGCACAACTTCTTACCACTAGGCAACTAGGGCTCCCTAGTTATTCGGAGTATGCAATTCAATAAATCAGTAATGGAGGTTTTAAAGTCCTTGATATTTAGCACCATATTTTTAGCCTAGCAGAGACGCAATAACATTTAATAAACAGAATTGAATTTCTGCAAGGATATGCTCATAAAGCTCAGGAATATAATCAAAGAATAATAGGAGCTGGAGTCCTAATACCGTAAGAGGAGCATTGACTAAATAGTATTATGCATATTGCATATTGATATGAAGGTGCAAGTAGGAATGAAGAGAACAAGAGATTCCCAGGCATCAGCAGCTACTATGTGTTGATATTACTTTTGTGATGTATGCCTTTGATTCTATTATTTATTGTTGAATCAATTTGGGCTCATACTAATTCTATACGACAAAACAAAGTTTCTCACAGGCTGTCATCTTTAAGGCAGCATATCACCAGATCTTTTCTCCCATGAAGACACTTGATGGGTATGAACTGCCAGAATTCTGTTTAGCAACTTCATCACTTAGCCATTTTGCCAGCTTTCCTTCAAAACTTAGGGGTAATAAATAAGGCAGAAAATTATCACCTGTATTTATTCCCATTGGTAACTCAAGAAAATCTTAACCAACATCTTTAACATCTATTCCTGGGACCTTATTTTTTGCTATTTCCTTCAAAGCATCCTGAACTTCTTCCTTCATCACCAAAAGCTCTTGCTCATATGTTGTTTCATGAAATTCTTCTGTGTCTGCCAATTCCTTTTGATACAGTGACTCAGTATGTTCTTTCCATCTTCTTTTAATACTTCTTCTTTTAATACTTCCTGGATCATTTAATCTTCTTCCTAAAGCATCCTTGATTATAGCAACTAGAGGTTTGAATTTGTTCTTCAGTTCCTTGAGCTTAAGAAAT